GAAGGTGCGCGGGGGGGGGGGGGGTGGGGAGAGACGGGCCAGATTTGATTGGGCAATTCCATTTTCCCATATTACCTGGGAAAGTGAACTTACCCTTTAATGCACATATGGATGGAGCTCTGTCGTAGCACAGCAGCCCACACTGGACGCCAGGCTGAGGATCCACTCCAGTTCTTGTAAGGTAAGGAGACTGGGTGGACCTTAAAACAAAAAAAAATGTGTCTGCGTATGTATGTATGTCAGTGTTTTGAGGGTCCGTTCACACTAGTACAGTGCGTCAAACTGTACCACGCAGACACAACTACCGGGCATTCTGGTGTGGGAGGTGTGTTGCGTTGCCATTCATTTGGATTAAACTCAAAATGCACCTCCCACCCACCCACAGTGCGTACGGCTGCACCAGAACCTGCGGTATCCTAATGCCATGTGTTCCATTGCAGTGCGACTTGGGTCACAACTTAATGGCCAAGGACAAATGTGGGTACTGAGGTTGCAGAGGTTGAGAACCACTGCTCTATGTGATAGTTTGGAGGTGACAGGTTCTCTTTATGGAACCTGCCCTCCAACACAGAACAGATGTTCTGTGTAGTTCCTGACAGCCGAGACAGGTGGCGCTGTGATTACAGCGCCACGGTCTCGGTGATCACACAGAGCAGACGAAGAACGGAAGTTCTTCGTCTGCTCTGCGGGCTCTATGGTGAGCTACCGTGCCGTGGTCACGGTTGCCCCAGAGTAGCGGGGGACCGCCGAAGACCACGGCGGGGGTGCCGGACAGGATCGCCGATTCTCGTTTCATACAAGTGATCTGATCAGATCACTTGTATGAAAACGAGCGGCGGCTCCACAATATACATTTAGCTCTTCTTGTCCAGAGCAGGGCTAAATGTATAAAAAAAACTACTCGCCCGGCGCCCGAAACTGCATGTCCCGGGCGTCGAGCAATAGGAATTCCACACCCCTGCACATACTCAGGGTGAGGACAGAGCAGTGTTTTATACAGCGGTGGAATCTTGCTTAAATCCCTCTTTTTATGACAGACTAGCCAGCTAGCTTTGCTAACTGCTGCTTGGCATTGCATGCTATCGCTGAGTCTGTAGTCTACAAGGACCCTTAATATTTTTCCATGCCTGACTCCCCCAGAGGAACATCTCCCAAAGAGTATTGTACATAACTTTACAATCTTCAATATGAAATCTCGTGTACGCAAGACATTTTGCGTTAAGGTGGCCGTACACCTGCCGATTATCGTACGATAACTGCGGGAAATCTCACGATCATACGATAATCATTAAGGTGTGTGCCCAGCCTTACAAGCACGTTGAAAAACCAGGCGAAAATCGTAAGATTTTCTGCGGGTTTCTGCCGTGCTGGTAAGACAAATGCCGCACGGGCCGGTGTGCACAAGCGCACACTGCCCGCTCAGCATTGCAGTCATTGGAAGCCCTCCCCTCAGCGGGGCGGGCTTGCAGTGGTCGCACGTCTCCGTTCACACTGCTCGATTATCGTACGAAAAACCGATCGCATACGATTATCGTACGATAATCGTGCAGTGTATGGGCACCTTAAAGGTTTCCTAAGTGTATGGGCACCTAAGGTATGGGCACCTTAGACCGTTTCTACTGTACGGTCGCACGTCTTCTGTCGAACCAGCATGTTCGAAAACCAGCCGGGAATCGTACGATTCTCGGCTGGTTAGAACGGTGCTCGGAAGATAAATGCTGAACGGGCCGGTGTGCGCACGCGCACACTGCCCGTTCAGCATTGCGGTCATCGGAAGCCCGCCCCTCAGGGGGGCGGGCTTGCGATGATCGAGAGTGCGATCTGCCTGTCCAAGATAGGCAGATCGTACGTTTTTTTAATCCCTTTACAACCATCGCAAGACTAAAGTCTTGCGATGGTTGTAGAGTGTATGGCCACCTTTACATGTATACTGCGAGGATCGCAAGAAACCAAGCAGTGACTCGTCTCCTTGGTAACCAGAAGCATGTAGACTGAGGCGGTGACTTGAAGATAGTTGAGGGGGCGGGGTTACGGCGACGTAATAACGGATTAGCGGGCGCAGATTGTAAAGAGGGAAAGGGGCGGGTTCTGGTGACGAGAGGTAAATGTATAGGGAGTGCTACGGTGACGCGCCTTGGCTGGAGGGGGTGGGGCTGAGACGGCGCGCCATTGGTTCTTGGGGAGTGGTTTACACAGAATACGCATACGGCTGAGCGTGCTCGCTCCCGTGACGTGTTGGTGAAGGGAAGGAGCGGTGCCGGGTAGTCCGCTGTGTCAGGCCGTGGAGGTTAGGAAGATGGGAACCGATCAAGCGGAGAGAAAGGTTAGTGAGCTGGGGAGGCTGTGTGGATAACGGGGAGAGGACGAGGCTGGTGATCAGGGGCTCAGCGACTCCCCTGGCCTGTGTGCGTGAGTTACGGACAGACCTGAGTGTCGGGCCGGAGCCTCCTGTGTGCGACCAGCTCCACCTCCGCACTGCGCGGCCAGCACTGGCCTAGAGTACACCCCGCTCCACCGCCTCAACCAGCCTGCAGGGGGATCTGCTGTGCACGCTGCCGCTTACTGCACTCCATAAAAGATGTACTCCTCTCTACGCTGCACTCCACACTGGACGTACTGCTATGCACGTTGCACTCTACACACTGGATGTACTGCTTTGTCTATACTGCACTTCACACCGGCTCCACATTGTACTCTATATACTGCTCCTGTATATGCTGCACTTCACACCGGCTACACATTGTACTCTATATACTGGACGCACTGCTCTGTAGATACTGCACTTCACACCGTGTACACTTTGCACTCTACACACTGGACGTACTGTTCTGTATATACTGCACTTTGCACCGGGTACACGTTGCACTCTTCACACTGGACGTACTGCTTTGTATATGCCGCACTTCACACCGGCTACACATTGTACTCTATATACTGGACGCACTGCTCTGTAGATACTGCACTTCACACTGTGTACACGTTGCACTTTACACACTGGACGTACTGTTCTGTATATACTGCACTTTGCACCGGGTACACGTTGCACTCTTCACACTGGACGTACTGCTTTGTATATGCCGCACTTCACACCGGCTACACTTTGTACTCTATATACTGGACGTACTGTTCTGTATGTACTGCACTTCACAACGGGCACATGTTGCACTCTCTATACTAGACTTACTGCTCTGTGTATGCTGCACTTCACAACGGGTACACGTTGCACTCTATATACTGGACTCGGCACAGAGTGTACACTGCACTACACACCAAATGCACTGCGCTGTATTTACTACACCACACCGGGTACACACTGCATTGTATTTACTACACTCCACATCAGGTACACATTGCACTCTATATACTGGACTCGGCACAGAGTGCACACTGCACTACCCGCCAAACATACTGCACTCCACAGCGAGAGCACGCTGCACTGTGTATACTGCACTCTATATACTACACTGTTTCTAAAGTCAGGTTTTTTTTTTTAAGTTCGACCCACGAGCTGAATAAAAATAAAATCGATTCAATTCCTCCATTAACACTTCCGAGCGTAGGTGGATGAATCCCAGCTGTTGGCACTGTATTCTGAAAGCAGCCCGCCGCCCACTGTCAGCATACCCGAATGGTGCTGGCAGCTGATTGGCTGCCAGCTCAGTTCAGCCAATAAATTTCCAATCTGCTTCTTCAATCAGCTGATTTAAGGGATGCCTGGCAATGGGTGCCAAATCAGCTGGAATTAGTACCATGTGTACCCTACTTTACTGCTCTGTACACTGCACTCTTTACTGGTTGTACTGCACTCCACACTGGGTACACACCAACACTGCATATAGCATTAGCATTCCACACACACTATTACTGTATATAGGGCACACCATACTCTACACACTTGCCATTTACTGTTCTGTACGCTACACTTCATACTGGACACAGGGAGCTCTACAACTGGTACACACACCGCTACTCCTATGGTGTACACTTTAGCATTGTATAAATGGCATTCCATACTGTACAAACTGAGCTCCACACCAACTATACACTGCACACCACCACTATACACTTCACACCACACCACCACTGTATGTACTGTACTCCATAGTTTAATACTGTGCTCCATACCAGGTATACCCTACCACTGTACATATGGCACTCCACACCAGGAACACACCACCGTATATGCTGTACTCCATACTGTACATGCTGTGATCCACACGCAGTATATAGAGTACAAAGTGTAGCCGGTGTGAAGTGCGGCATATACAAAGCAGTACGTCCAGTGTGAAGTGCAGTATATACAGAACAGTACGTCCAGTGTGTAGAGTGCAAAGTGTACACGGTGTGAAGTGCAGTACCACTGCACATATTGCACTCAATATGGTGTATATGCTACACTCCGGACCAGGAACACACCACCACTGTATATACTGTACTTTATATTGTACATGCTACCCCTGTACATACAGTATTCCCACCTTATATGCTGCTCTCAGTACGGTGCATGCACTGTGCTTCCAGTATTACTGACACTGTTCTAGGGCTGCAACTATTGATTTGTTTTCATAATCGATTAGTTGGCCGATTTAAAAAAAATGTGTGTGTGTATATGTATATATAATTTTTATTAATCGGATAAAAAAATATAAGATACAAGTGGAGTGTTACAAAGTTTACTTCTGTTCATTTTTAGCATTCATACCACACTGAAACGCACAGCATTGTTGTACTGTCCATTCCAGTGCATGTGATCACACTGGGGGTGGGAGGCACATTTGGGGTGCCATTGAAATGAATGGCACTGCAACACACTTCCTGCAGCAGAATTTGTCAGGCCGAAACCAAAAACAAGTTTTTTCTCCCCACTTTTTATTTATTTTAAAATAAAGTATTGTACGCACATGGCACTCGAATAACATCATCCAGGGAATGACAGCTGCCAGCGGCAAGATTCCGCAGCTGGATGTAAATACAGCAGGTAGTGGGCGGGTGCAATAGCCAGCCTACTGTTGGTCATTTCAAATTGCAATAGCCAATAGCAGGCTGGCTATTGCACCTGCCCGCTGCTTGCTCTGCCCTCCCTCCAGCATGGAGGAGAGAGCTAGGGGTTCCAGCCTACTAATCTCTAATTAAAATAGTTGAAAACTATTCTAATTAGCGATTAGTTGGTTGCAGCCCTACATTATCAGGCTGTACACACTGCCTAGTATATTATCATTGCTGTACTACTTGTTCTGCACCAGAACTGCACACACTACTGCATACTTCCTAGCACTCTCAGCCTTGCCTTCTTCATTAGTACTTTGCAATACATGAAATAAGTCTGAGCTTATCTCAGCCTTGTTTCTTCCTCTTTGCAATGTGAGACCACTCCAGAAATCTTTTATTGGTAGTTGCAAACCATTGTACTGATATAATTTATGTGGGAACAGGTGCAGTTTCCTTACCCAAATTTGATCCAAGGGCTCTAGGTTAGGAAGAAAGTAGTGGTGACTTTTTTGCTTCAGTTGGTGTAAGGCTTATGTTGGAATAAGACCGCTTCCAGCTGGCCAGCTCGGCACGCCTTACATCCATGTCATTCCCCCTCCTGCCATCAGCTCAGTCTACTAGTGACCATGAACTTCTAGTAGAAATGTTTCCCAAACTCTGCTGAATAAAATAATATCCGTGATCAGTGTCTGGCAGTGTCAGAGCAGTAAGGGATCATTCATATTGGAGCAGATAGTAAACCTGAGCCGCATGTTTACTGTCTCCTTGTAAATGAATACAGACTGTGTGCTACTGATCATGTCTGTATTCATTGCTGCAGAGCAGATGGGACTCTCATCAATCTCTTTCTTGAACTATAAAAAGTGAAATATCAGAAGTCTGTTTAAACCGCCGATATCTTCTAAAAGCTCCCCACGACTGTTTATAAAAAAAAGAATCAAAACACCCTCCTGCACACACATTGTGGCAATGCACGTTACTTATGTTGGTGCACCAACACACTGCCTATTCACACCAGCAGGTTTGCATGGTGTGTGTTGTACACAATGCAGTGCTTATTTTTTATATTTCAAAATGACAATTATTCATCTGTGTTTATATTTTGTCGCATATTGTAATGCTGCATTGCCTCCGTCATTTTATCTCAGCGCCCACGAATACAACGCACACACACAGTACTGATTTACCACTATACATAGGTGTGAGGCCATCCTCCAGGTTTTGGTGTAAGCTGTTTATTTCCAATGTACAAATATTTGTAAAATAAAAATGCTTCAGATTTAGTAGGAATTCAGTAAGTTATATCTGTAAAAGATAAGTCAAGGCAATTGGACATGCTGAATTTCTTAAAGACGTTTCACTGGACATCCAACCAGCTTTCTCAATTCAGAATAACTTGTACAAAAAAACTCTCATGCAATCAACAGCGGGTTATGACTAACAGATTATGTCGATTTGGAGAGAAATTCACCATATTTATTCCCAGAGTTGTTTGTACAAGTCATTCTCAATTGAGAAAGCTGGGCGAGTACTCACCCAAATGCTCCAATACCTTTCCCGATACTGGAACTTCCGGTCAGAGGGAGATTTCCTCTGACTGGCAGTGCCGCGAGGAAACATGGAGCCAGGAAGCTAGCTCGATGCTGATGGGCCGGGAAGCCGGCTTCCCAGTCAGTGTCGAGCCAGCCAAACGGGAGACGTGGGCAGATCTTGGAGAGCGGTGTCTGCCCAGCTGGCCGAGGAACTGGTACGGTAATGACTGCTGCTAATGATTTATGTGAGAGGAATGAGGTGCCTGCAGGGGGGGTCGTGTCACCATATTGTCAGATCTGTTTGGCCGGCTCAATGCTGATTGGCTGGGAAGCCGGCTTCCCGGCCAGTCAGCATTGAGCCGGCCAAACAGAGTGGAGTCAGCTTCCCGGGCAATCAAGAAGCCGGGCGGTGTGTAATGATACGCCGCCTGGCTTCCTGATTGCCTGGGAAGCCGCCGGCTCTATGTTACCGGAAGTACTGGTATCGGTACTCTGTATCGGAAAGTAACGAAATATAAATATCTGTACTCGATGCGAAAAAACGGTATCGGTGCATCCCTAGTAGAAGTCTCCCGAACAATTCCTTTTGTAACATTTTATAAGTTTGCAATTTTTTTGTTAAACGTTTTCTTGTGCTGGTTACCTAACTGAATATCTTTTCTTTTTTGACTGTAGGATGTGACTGCTTCTTGAGCTACTGATGTCTGCAGACTCCTGCCCCTTCTGCTAGAATGTTTCTAGTGAATGCACCTCCAGTGGCAGCTTTTCCGACACAATGGACACCGTTTGGACCCAAAGCTACCCATAAAGTGCCCTTGTCTGTAGTTCACCCTGAACAAATACAAAAAGCACCAAACCTTCTGGGCATTATAGACCATCAACAGAGTAATGAATCTTCTTGTGCAGTGAGAGCCGAATATGAGCGTATTATGCAGAAGAACAGAAAGGGGGAATTAAACAATGACCGAGGACTAAAATCCAGTGCTGCACTGTTGAAAGGGCACACAAAGGAACAGGCTACGTTCACACTTCCCACACAGTTAAAAGTCAAAGAGGAAAGTTCACCAGCACTGGATTCAGACAGTGATGATTCTGTCGACAGAGGCATTGAAGAAGCTATTCAGGAATATCTAAAAAACAGAAGCACTGCAGATGCTTCCTCTACCATTGCGGTCACAAAGAACTCAAGCCCTACTGATAATTCTGACCAGCTAAAAACAATTTCTAGTAATGTACCTGCTTGCAAGTCACCTGTTAAAATGGTCACGTCAACTACCACCTGCAATACTTTTTCTGCTCTGGACCGTTCTTGTTGTTCTTCTCCAGAAAGTGTGGGTAGCGATGATTCCTTCGAGCAAAGTATCAAGGATGAAATCGAGCAGTTTCTGAGTCAGAAGAAGTTGCAGAATACTGCGAGTGACTCTAGCACTGCCAAGAAGGCTGCCCAGAGCAATGTAGCTGCTAAACCAAAGCAAAAGCCATTTAAGATTGCCGAGAAACAAAGCCCCAAGCCAGGGATCAAGGGACTTCCGGACAAGCTGCCTTCTGAAAGCCTTAATCTGCAGCCTAAATGTTCGAAGCAAAAGGCTGAAAATGTTAAAACTAGTATCTACCCTAAACCTTTTTCTAGCTCGGTTAAGCAGAGCGAGCAGAAAAATGAAGCTTCCTCAAGGCAGTGTGAGGCGCTGTCCGACTCCAGTAGTGATGACGGCATAGAGGAAGCAATTCAACTTTACCAGCTAGAAAAGAGCAGGCTAGAAGGAAATCTCATTGTGGATCACAAGTGCTCTCTAGAGAAGGAGGCAAAAAGCACTGTCACATCTACTGGAACTTTCCCCCACTGCCAAGATACAAACTCCTCTCCAGATCCACATACCAACACAGACTATAAAAAAAGAAAACTTCCTTCCAGCAGTCATGCAGCATCTCAAGATGCCTCCAGCTGTCACCCCCCCACTACCAAACGGACCCTTTATTTTGAAGATGACAGCAACCCAAAATGTGACGGAGTACAAGCGACACGCAGGGCTGAAACAGCTGCCGAGCTAATGTGCGCTGAAGCGATACTTGACATTTCTAAAGCAATTTTGCCTTCTCAACCGGAAACTACTTGTATGGTTTCACAAGAAACACCCCCTGCTCAACCACAATCCCCTTGCGCTAGTGACAGCTCTGTTGACAGCGATGACAGCATAGAGCAGGAGATAAGAACATTTCTCGCTCGTAAAGCGCAAGCAGAGAGCCTTGGCATGTCTCCTGCCATACAGACCTCTCCAAATCCGCAAGGACTTGAGCAACGTAGGCAGCAGTCACCTTCCAGCAATAAAACTTTGTCCCAAAAAGGAAAGTTAAATGAGAGCAAAATTGTACAAAAGGACCTGCTGGGAATGGGGGAAAAGAGGCGTGCAGATGTTATTGGTATAGCAAGTACAGTGTCTTGTCCCCCGGAAATCTTGCAGGCCATAAGTACAGATGTTGGGATGAATGAGTGCTCCAAGCCATCCTACAAATTGGAAGAAGCCAGTCACATTGTTCAGGAGGCAGCAAAAAGCCTTGTATCACTTCCTGCAATAACTGGAGGAAAACGGAAGATATACACTAAAATGAGGAGCAACTGTAGTGTAGACACAAGCAGTTCTTTAGACAGTGATGAGGATTTAGATTCAGCTATAAAGGACCTCCTTCGATCCAAGAGGAAATGCAAAAAAAGACCAAAGGATGGGAGGCCGCAGTATAAGAAAAGGGTCAGGTTTGGGGAAACCACCACCAGGACTCTAGAATCACTTGGCACTGGGGGTGATTTAAAGGACTGCATGCTCAAGCCTGCTGTTAAAGGCTGCCTTGTAAATACCAGCAGCCCTCAAGAGAATGCTTTAAAGTCCGGTTTACACATGAAGATAAAAGAGGAGTGCATGAGCACAGCAAGCAATTCAGACTTGTCACCAAATAAACCTGAGTGCAAACCAGTCATTGTTTCAGACAGTTTGAGTAGTGCCTTGCCTGAAGCACAAGACAGTAGTTCTGTGGATAGTGATGATAGCATTGAACAAGAGATAAGGAAATTTTTGGCAGAGCGTGCAAGAGAGTCTGCAGAACTTTGTGCAGGGCAAAATGCACCAACTGCTGTCACCAGTGTAAGTGTTGCCACTCATAATGACTCCCCAGCCAGTCTGAGTACTCCTCCACCAGTAAAACAAGAACCCAGGGTTTTGTCCAGTTCAGAGACGCAGACCATACTTCAAAAAGTCATGGAAAAGGGCCGCTCAAATGCACCTGTACCCCATCCAGCAGTGATACAGCGTGTGCAGGACTATAAGGATGTTGTACCACAAGTCAGGCTGATACAGCGACCACCTGCAGAAGTGCCCAAGGCATCAACTCCTGTGCATAGTGTCATTGTAAAGAGGGAATGTTTTCTAGAGAAAAACAGAGTGGTAAGACCAGCTGAGAAGGTCTTCCAAAGCACTCCCGAAAGAGCTATTGTAAAAACTGGAGTCAACGGATCACAAGGCAGTTCTCCTGTTTCTGGAAACTTTGTCGCCGGTCTCAAGTACATTTCAGGGACGGACCAACAGCTCCTACTAAACATGGGAAAGGCCAGCTCTACAAGGATGGCAACAGAACTCTACAGTCCTGGTGGAAATATCACTAGATTGGGACCTTGTCAGCCAGTTCAGAAAAAGACGTTGATTTTGGAACAGCCGAAAATTGTCCAAGCTCCTACCTTCTCTCTCAATGCCCCTGTGGTTCGTCCTGCGTTGTATGTTGTGACCACTAAGGTGGTCAAGGATGCTCCTACTGCACTATGTCTGCCGATAAATACAGCCACCTATGATGCTGGACTCAATTTAATGAGTATACAATACTGTCAAGGTCAGGTAGCAGCTCATAGCCCTGTGTGTACCACGCCTTTCCCTTTTCAGCAAACTAGAGGCAGTGAGATTGTGGTGAATATTCCAGGTGCGACAGGAGAGGCGTTGCCTCTTGGTACCAAAGCAAGAGAGAGCCAGTCAGTGACAGAAATAGCCAGCAGATCTTGTAATCTTAAAGACAAATCGGCAGAGAATGTAGGGACAGGCTCTGATGTCAGTTCGAACAGCAGTGGAAGCTCAGCTAAGAGAAAGAACATGTAAGTACTTTAGTCCATTAGAGCTGTATAGGACCACTGTAAATAGTTTGAAAGTTGAAGCAAGTCATGTCACAGCATCGGTGTTATAAAGTAGGGCACAGAGTTGGCCAAACTGTTGTCCTTTTGTGGTTAAGGAACTACATGACCAGGCATGCCCAGCAAGCTAGCCTTGTCATTCCTCAGCATCCAAAAGGTGACAGGTTGTCTTCCTCTATCATAGAACATAACCGCCTTTTTTATAGGACTTGTGTGACCTAGTCTCTGAATCAATCGCATATATTGCACCATTACACATGGTATGTGACTTTTAAAAAAAATAATTTTTAGCTCTGCATTCCGCTGTTCAGCGCACATTAACGTCACATGCATCATGTAAAACCTATGCTCCGTTTTCTAACGCGCATGTTAGTGAAGGAACTGCATTTTTTTTTTTTTTTTACACTTTTTTTTTTCTATATCATGAAACGGTAGAATAATTAGACATTTTACAAGAGGGAATATGTGCTGCTTAAAGTGGACTTGTTTAAACAACTGAAGTTAAGCAAAGGTACCATTTGAAGATAAATTTTGCACATACGCTGTGTTGTCTGCAGGCTAATGGCAAAAGCTGATCAGGGGTTGGTCAGTTGGGTATAGGCTAAGAGACGTTGGCTACCTTTCTGGCATTTCAGCAGCATGGCTCATGGACTCTGGAAATGAACCAGTCGTGATTGGATATTATTGCATAACTGTGCAGACTAACTGATTAAAAGATTTATATTTGCCCCCTTTGCTTTTTCTGTCTGATACGTTAACTTGTTTTAGAGATCTAAGGTGACCTGAAGTCCAACAGTTACTACTGTGTAACAGGGTGATGGGTTAGGCATTTGACAGGGCAGCTGTGGTTAGACTTGGAGGCACTTCAAAGCTTTTCACACAAGTAGAATTATCAGATACAACTGTGCAGATACAACCGTAATTACTCTGTATTAACATAAGACCTAAATCAATAGTTGTATTTAAGTGATTGTGAAAGTGGTGGAGGGTTATTCCTCTTGTGATATGTAGCATAACCTGTGTCGGATAAAAAGGTTGTTTGAGGGTTGCACTGTGTATTAGTATCTGGGAGAGTCGATGAAAGACTAGGACAGTACTGCACCTGATTACAGACCTTTTGGTGTTGTGGAGCTTGTGGTCAGGTTCATGACCCTTTACACATAGGCCATGTGTATGTATGTGTGGGTATAGGGACAGGTCAGCATCCGCAAATAATACCCCATAGCAGTCTTCTGTGCTAGCCAGCGCTAATACTCAACCATACCTGTTGTCTTAGTTCTCATTCTTGGTCAGGTCTTGGTTGTGTAGGTTTGCAGATATTTGGAATTCACATAATGTATCAAGCTTCCTTTCTATGATGTAATCCAACACTAATAATTTACCACCATTGGTACATTGTAACAATGAATCCATTGAGAGCCTGTGACACAGGGGGCATTATGACTTGCTCTAGACCTTTAAAGGAGAACTATGGGGTCAGGGCTTTTCCCTATAGTTCTCCTTAGGGTAACGGGAGGACACAAACTAGCGTCCTCCCGTCACCCTAAGCTCAGTATACCGTGAGCTACAGCTCGCGGTATACTGAGACGCCGCAGCGGATCCCAACATCGATGTTGAGATCCGCCCAGCTGTGTGAGTGACAGCAGGCTCTGCCTATCTAGAGGCAGAGCCAGCTCTACCCGCCCTCTCCCCCGTCCGTTCCGCCAGTCAGCGCTCGTGGGCCGGAGGGGGGAATGCATCCCCTCCCCTGTCACGGCAGAGAGCTGACATGATCGAGAAGTGAGCGAGCACCGGCATGTGTTCGCTCACCTCCCGATCTACTGAGCCGACCTGTGACAGTCTCATTGTCACAGGTCAGCTAGAACTATGAGGTGAGTGAAAACCACTCACCTCATAGTTCTCCTTTTAAGTTTGCTTCAGACCTAGACAGAAGCTGTTTTTTTTTTTGTTTTTGTTTTTTTTATTAGGCCCTACTTACATTTTGTATGTAGTCACAGTAGTCATCAGCCAAGGTGGCCCATGATGCCAAGGCAGGATGCAGTTGCCATATGGTGAGATCAGCAATCCAGACAGAGGCTAAAGTAGGGTATACGAAGTTAGAATTTCAAATGAAATCTATTTCAGAATGTTCGTTCCACTTTCTAGTCATTGTGTGAAATCGACGATCACTTTCGACTGAAGTGATGAAAAAATTTGAAGGATCATGTTGGAAAATGTTTCTCTGAAATGTGGAAAGCTCCATTCATTCGAAAATAAAAACGAAAATCAAATGAATTTTTAATGACAATCACCAAGCCAGTGATGGTATTATTGAATGTTCCAATGAGATTGTTCATACAAACGTTCATGCGAAAATCCACCTGTGTATACCTTACTTGACCCATAGCATCCAGAATGTATGTGGGCAAAGAGGCCAGCTTATTCAGGTGTGGCATTTTGGAAGACTTGCATATCTTATTGTACTGCCATCATCGGCACTTTGTGTTTGTCAGCTGCTGACATCAGAACGGGCCTTTTTTAATTCATTTAAAAAAATATAGACACTGTTTTGTTTTAATAACATTTAAAACTGTGATTAGAGTATTTTTGTCACGCAGGTAAAGATAACTGTGTGGTTATTGGTACAACCTCATATCTGGAAGTCAATATTCTCCTTTTAGTTGTCCAGACTGACCCACCCCTGATTTACCCATCTAGTAAAATATTTCCCCCCTTAAAGTTTTATACAGCAGAAGCGGACATAATGCATGGGCTCAATGGTCATTCTTGAGAACATGTCCTGATCTCTAGGAACCAGTGATCCTAGACCATCGGGATTATCATTTTATCCTGCAGCATGTTTGCCTTTGCTTCACCTATGTAAAGTTAATCATTTCAAGTTGTTCAATCTCACTGTATGTTGCTCCATGCCAGTCTCTTGAAAGCTTCTGACAGTGAACATTCCATAATAAAAAAAAAAGTTTGTAAATGTAACATGTAAATATAGCAGTTTGGTATTTTTTAATTCTGTTTTTTTTTTTCTTTTTAGTTTAATTGCCATGAAAATTTTAGATTTTTTAATATCCTCTTTGGAACTTGAAGGTTTTTTGCACTCATGTTAATCATTAATTTTATTTTTACAGAGTTACATTCTGTAATTTTTTGTTTTATAATTTGTCATGTTTCTATTTGTAGCACTTATGAAGCCCAGTAGGGTCTACAAATATTAACCAAAAAAAAGTGTCTGTTGTTGTTGGCCATCAGACAACTTTTAGGGCTGGTTCACATCATTTTACATGTTGAGGCAGCATGTTCATTTTAATTCTGCTCTCCGATCCCCCTCCTGCACTATTATGGCAATGCACTGCATCATACAGGACATTCACATATGCACATTAAGGGCAATGTTTATTTAATGTGCATTAATACACCAGATTTAACATGCGTTATCACATGTGCTATGGTTTGAATGAGCCCTTTACTGTTCTTACAGAAAGAGCTGAAATTTGGTCACAACCAATTTTCATCCCAATAGTGTTTTTGTAGGCAAGGTCCAGTTTTTAAAGCCACATGCCTTGTGAGCACAGAAATTGGATACAGTCGAGGCTGAAGACATACTTAATGGGGTTATTAACAGGTTCTCTGCTGAGTGTAAGAAAATCTTTCCCCTACAATCTCATTTGAAGAAATTGCTAATAAAATTGTTCAAAAGCCCTTAAGGTCACACTCCGTTTTAGGTTCCCCGGTATGTGGGTTTTAGAGCTAAACCCATAATTCTATATTGTAATAATATACTAGACCGTGGTTATGGATTTTAGAACTTTTCATGTTGAGTTATGTTAGTGGAGCACCGCTGTTCCCAGTAATATTTGTCAAGTATTCTTTGTTGCTGACTTGAGTCCGTATACCACCAGTAAACCTTTATTTTTAAAGTATATATTGTATAATTGTTTACATATCAGACTATATTAAGACAATCAGAATTAATGGGCCACGCATCTTGAGATCTGTACGGTCTCTCCTAGATTTATCAGCCACAATGTAGTGGAAGGTCTGCTTGATTGGACATATTGAATGGATTATTTTAGGTAAGCCCTTGCACCTCATTGTAATAGGTAACGTTGGCCATACACTGGTAGAAAAATGTTGAATCATGCCATCAGAATTTCATTTGATTTTTACATTTAATTTTGCAATGAATGGTGAACAATGTTCCATCATGCTCGTTCTTTTTTTTTTTTCTTCTCTTTCCATTACTACAGTCCAAAATTGTTGATTTGACCCCATTAACTATAAAAAAAAAAAAAATCAAACTGCTGTTCGAAGAAAAATAAAAAGAAATAACCCTATACTGGTGTATGGCCAACTTAAATGAGATTATGCAGAGACTACACAGTCGGGTTGTAATTGGCGTTTCTGGCTTCATACATTATTATTCTTCTGTTTTTCTGTTAACAATTGGCATGAAATAATCCATACCCTTTATTGAGGTCATCTTGGTTGCCTCTACTCGGTAAAGGATCCAGTCTGTGCAGTATAACTGGGACCTATGCAGAATGAACTCAAATATCACTTGGCAGGATAAGCTTCTTTTTTTTTTGCAGGTTTGTTTGTTTATACTTCAGGGATTTTTATTTGCTCTGACTTATGGCCATAGACGGCATGAATCTTCATTTCCATGGCTGATGTGACAATCAGGTGATACTGGGCTTTTCTAGGGTGACGTAAGTAATGCTTACAAAAATTGAAGGTGCTTGGTATTGGCTTCTGGAGAGCTGGATAATCTGTGTGGTACAGGCACTTAGTGCAAAAAAAGTGTTATCATGTACTGCTTTCACCATTCTACCAAGTCAGTGCAGTAAGCTTGATTTGACTTCTGAGTAGAGGTCTCCTGCATAATCCTTTGGGTACGAATAGATAATTTTGTCATGATTAGTTTTGCTTTAAATTTATATTAATTTTCTTTTTTAAAGGCAATGCCTGCCCAATATTGATATTTCAGTTATAGATGCAGACTTTGATGGGCTGAATAACTTGATTGCTGCATCACTTTCCATCTCGTTTGTTTCATTTTCTGTCATGGAAAATCCACATTTGAGTTTAGAGAGACCCTTTTGAGATAGTCTGTCGGGTGAAGCTGGGAACTTAACTAGCTAGAGACCCATGAGCTAAGAGAATAGTGGTTTGACCTGCCATTTTTTTTTTTTTT